TGCACGCATTGTGCTTTCGTAATATATACACCGCCAGTGCATAATTTTCGAGCCCATTAACAATATAGACATAAAGGCAAGTGTCAAGAAATTTATTTCTTGTTATACCACCGTATCGTAAAATATCGATATCCGGAAGTTGTATCGCGATATATCGAGTTTTCAAAATATATTGCAATATACCGATATACCGGTATATCGTTACACCCCTAATGCTCAATGAGCAACACTCTCACGGCAGGGGTAGAAATGAACTTTGGAACAAGGGAGTACAATGGACTCCTTACCCTCAAAAAGAGGAAGTTTGCAGAAAATTGAGGGGGTCTGTAGTCTGAAGTTAAAAATGAAAGATTTGCTGAAAAAATACGGTAATTCTGTAAGGCCGTGCTCTGAAACGAACTAGTTAGTATATAGCAGAATTTTCAGGGAGTCACACGGACTCCTGCATATGTCAAATCAGGGAGTCCGACATTAAATCAGGGGGTCCGACATTAAATCAGGGAGTATTTGACTCCGGACTCGCGTTAATTTCGCACCCTACACGATAAGCAAGAGTAGTGGTTAGAGCGTCGACACACAGAGAAGCTGCATCAGTGTTATCAGGACTATAATGCAGCGATGAGACTTTCGTTCCTGTCACAACAGCGATCCAAGTACAAGTGGTACAATTAACCTTGAACAGAATTGTCTCTGGCTTACAGACATACATTTCCCACTGGCTGGGCAGACTTGTCTGGTGCTGTGGCATCCCGCCGAAAATGATAGTCGACTGGCTGGTCGAATCGAGAAAATATCAATGGCGGAACAAACAACGGGGCGGACTGGCTTAGCCAGCCCGGCATCTCAATTTTCTGGGGGACGATATCCTTGTACACGGAATCAAACTTTGTTCCATCTGCATTCCGCTGCATCGGTAGATATTGAAAATCCACCATGGACTGAAACCTGTAAGTGTAAGACACAGTAAGAAAGGGGGATAGCTACAAACAAAAGTTAATAATGATTGAGTTCACTTAGGACATCTGAGATATCACAATTTGATTAATCCCACGACCTGGCAACACACCAAGTGAGTGAGTAAGCATAATAACTTTTCTCAGAGTTTCAATAGCAAAGAGCTCAATTCATAACTACATAAATATTCAGCCAAGGCTGTATATTACGATATTTCCCCATTCCAAAGATACGGAATCGAGCACCTGTAAGTCGTGTCCACGACTCCAAGTATCTCAGCATGCAGGGTAACCTCTGGCTCCCTCCTCTCAGCTCCTAGACCAGACGACTTCTTTTTCCGCCGCCGCACCACCTTCATGAGTAGGTTTGTTGTGTTGAATCGATCGCCACAGGCCGGCTTGCAGAAGATATCTTGAGGTCGAAACCTCAGCTCCAGTCTCCTGCTCGGGTCAGCATTGGCCCTCGATACAGCGTTCTCACCACCGAGTGAAGTTAACATCTTGTCTACATTCATAACAACAGCTGGATATTCCACCAGAACAAACTTTCTCGTTTGATTAAACGGCACGTTGATGGCGTCGGGTAGTACCACCGATTCGCCCACATCCGAGCCGTCTGTTCCCGAAGAATTCATCTCTACTCACTTCAGTTATTCACTCAGATGTTCATACGCCTGCAGATGAGTTATTTTAGCTCGTCGCACAGTAAACACAGTCTCAAAGCAGCGTATTATTTTCAAGATATCAGATACTCTTTCAGAGAAGTCATATGCTACAATGAGTCTTTTCAATATGACACTTTTTTGCAGAGATTTTATCATGCAATGATGCGGATTATAAATATATAGTCTTCATTTACATCATCCATGGGGGCGAGTCAGAATTTCCATCATTTGTCTCCATTTCTGTATCCACAGGTGATTCCCTAAATTAAAGAAAGAATTGTTTTACCGCAACAACACGTTGTGTTATTTTAAGACACAGCTATTATTATTATTTATGCCCAAGGGAATAATATATTATATGTATAGTATATTATTATAAAGGCTGTTGCTCCTGCGACGGTACCGTCGCCGAATTTTTTTCTCTTCAACTCACGGTAGTGATGCCAGCGCCATCTATCGG